TGGTTCATCTTACTTCCTATAAGCTCATTAGGTAGAATCGCTCATTGGATTTTAGCTTTTTTTTTTAAGATTTTTATTTATTTTTTTATTATTTATTTATTTGACAGAGACAGAGACACAGCGAGAGAGGGAACACAAGCAGGGGGAGTGGGAGAGGGAAAAGCAGGCTTCACCGCTGAACAGGGAGCCCGATGCGGGACCCTGGGATCATGACCTGAGCCGAAGGCAGACGCTTAACGACTGAGCCACCCAGGCGCCCAGATTTTAGCTTCTTTAGTCTTTGGAATTCCTATTCTAAATGAAAGTTGAGGAAATGAAGGTTTCAGTTATAGTAAACCAGACGCAAATTCAGATATTTGGTTGGCAGGCTTTTCTTTCTACCTCTCTTAGGGAATTTCCGTTTCCAGTAAGGAAACAGACTTAAAACAAAACAAAACAAAACACAAAACAAAACAAAACAAAAAAAACAACTACCATATATTGCAAGTAGCAACTGAAAGGAAAATAGCAATGCAGTAAATGTTCTGAGCCTCAGATCTAATCACTAAGCACACAGCATCCTGGTTGTTTCTTTCTCACTGGCGTGTAATCCATCTGTACGTATAGTAACAGCAGGAGTTGTTGGTGTCGTACAGACTTGAATTCATTGCCCAACTCACAACTCTAAAAGGAAGAAGGAAAAAGGGGAGGAGAATTACCTTTCATGTAGAGCAGAAGGCAGATGGGATGGGAGTGTGAGAGGTAGAGAGGGAAAGAGGTGGGCTCACCAAGAGGAGCCATTGCACCAACTTGAGAGTGTCTGAATGAATGCAAAGAAGATGGGAGCAGCTGGTGTTTGAGCTTTAACTAGGCTCTAAGCTCTGTTCTAAGGACTGCTTTAATGCATTAACCTACTTAAACCTCACAGTGGTGCTGTAAGTGGGGAAACAGAGGAAGAAACACACTGGAGGTCACATCACTAGTAAATGGCAGAACTGGGATTTGAACGCAGAGCTGGTGGCTTAGCTGGACTTGGCATCTGCCTGTTATATATGAAATTCTTTGTCTTGAGTCTGAACTACATAAAAATTCACCTTTATCCTCTGAGTAGAGCTTAGCTTCCTTTTTTAAAAATTGAATTTTAATTATTCATGTAATGGGTGAATACATGTAAAAAGTATAAGTTAAAACATCACAGATGAAACAGAAGTCATGGTTTCCTTTGAGTAACAGGATTTCCTGTTTCCAGGAATTTCCTTCTAAATTCCTGTTTTCTCCCTGTTATGTTTATTGTGTATCATTTCAGATCTTTAAAAATACATTTAGATGCTTACTATGGATTCTTTGAAAATATAGGGTAGTGTTTTGTACTTTTTACTTAAAAAAGAAAACACTAATTATATGATACCATAGTGCAGAGGTTCCCAAACTTTGTTGATTTATGGCTCTCTTAGTATCTTAGTAATTATTTCATGGGGCCCTAGGTCAAAAGTACTTATTTCATAGTGCTCTACCTAATAAGAGTTAGGGACAACAAACTTAGTATTTAGGTCCTAACAGCTTAGTGGTCATTTAAAACATGACGTACGTGAAAATAATGTTTCCAGTTCATTCTTAACCACAATTACCTGGGAACAGGATGTGTGCACCTGTCGGACAGCCCCTGGCTCCTCAGATTCCAGGACCAGATCAGATAGATACTGCCATACTCATTGCCTTGCACACCTCTTTTCGCATGGTACTAGCTTTTTATCACAGCAACCGCTAAAAACCCAGCATTGCAAAAAGTATGACATCAAAAGAAATATAGCATGATCTAATGTTAGAGCTGGGAACTTCTTTGAACTGCTAGTTTGCACAGTGGGTATCTGACAGATTTCTAGAATGGCTCCTTTTCCCTGGGGCGCTTCAGTGCATGATTTGAGAACTGTGGCCATAGTTATAAATTTTGCAGTTCACTTTTTTCATCACACAGTGTGTTTTTAGAGATCTAACCACGTTACCCATCAAGATCTACGTCCTATAATACACTGAAGAATCCTCTAGAATATGAACAGATGACAGGTTATTTACCATTTTCCTGATCATGGCCATTAATAGTCTAATGTTTTATAATTTAATATAATCTTGCAGTGAGAATCCTTGTTATGTTCCTCTGTGTTCATGTAGGCAAAATGGGGAATAAGGGAATTGTGGGGCCATAGGCCAGTCAAGAGTTATAAATTTTAATAAATGCTCACAAACTGAGCTTGACCCTCTCCAAAGAAATGATTTACTATAATCCTTGAAACATGACTAATGCTGGCTTATTTTTCTTAGGGCTCTATACCCCATGACTATCCCACTGCAGAAGAATAGTTGTCCTGGTAGAAAAGTATGTATTGGTCACACTGTACATGTAGGTAATTAAGATACATGAGGTTTGAGAGGCAGGTGTAGGGTGTGAACAGGCCAAGGGGAGGAGGAAGGTCAGAACCCATCAGAAACTGCAGGGTGTATTTCGTAGGACAAGGTGGTCATTCATTTAGAGTAAATAACTTATTTAGGGCACAGATGGCAAATATTTTGCAGGCATACCTTCCATGTTCCCTACCCCTCCATGGCAGACACAGCCAATCCATCATGGCCCTCGTTCTCACTGAGATTTTGATCCTTCTTCACAGCCCTGGGAGATTGCCACCAACTAACTGGTATGGGCATATACAAATGGAACATACCTGTCATCCCTGGAGGCAGAGAGGAGGAGGAAAGGCAGGTTGAAGTTAGGCAGAGAAGGGCTAAGGAGTTCAAATGATGCCAAGTAAGGAGAACTCGGAAAATGCATTTCAGACTTTATTGGCCAAATGACTAGTGATTCTCCTTTGTGAGACAAGAGCGGTAGGTATTGATCTCAGTTGGTATTTGTTTTCTTGCCTTTGTTCTAAATTATCCTATTTCTAGAAAAATAATTTAATCATCAGAGGCCCCTTTTATTATTCTCCTCCATGGGATATGGTCTGCTAATTAAACTGTACTTATTAAGTAACAGCATCAGCAAACAAACATTTATTGATATTTTTCACATGCCAGGCATGGTTTAAGTGTCTCATGTTTATTAACTTTTTATTAACTTCTAAAATCCTTGCAACAACCGTGCAAAGTAGGTATTACTGCTATTCCCATATGATAGTTGCGGAAATTGAGAGCGAGGTTAAACATTTTGTACATGGTTATACAGCTAGTAAGTGGCCCATTAATATGTTTTTCCACTGTTCAGTGATAACTGTGTAAATGCCAAGCATTGCTTCTGACTAGAAGGAGATAACCAAAAGGAGAATGATGGTCTCCAAAGGCCTGGAGAAAGGGGGCTGCAGAGTGACTGTTAGTTAGGGCTAGAGTTTCATTTTTACAAGGTGAAAGTGCCCTGGAGAAGGATGGTGGTGATGGTTGCACGCCACTTTGAATGCATTTAATACCGGTGAACTGTACACTTAAAAATGTTAGGATGGTGAATTTGATGTTGTGTATGTTACCACAATTAAAAATATGGAAAAGGGAGGAAAAACCAGGTTCTCAAAATGAACAGACCTAATTTTGATCAGAAGCAAAGAAACTTGCCGTGTCCATTTGTGCAATACATCAGAGGTAAATGTATGGTTTTCTGTCCAACTCTTCATGACATTGACATGGTTAAAAAATACCCTATTCTTGGTTTAGAAGACTGTAGCGATCTGACACCCTGGATTGGAAACTCTTGATTTGACCACTCCATTTTTCAGCTCCTGGGGAAAGAAGGAATGTCGAGAATAATGTTTTAGAGCAGACTGATCTTTGGAGAGGCCACATGGCCAAGGTGAAGGGCCTGTGCTCTGGAATCCCACTGTGCGCTGGTTTCACCACTTAATCTCTGGATGACCTTAGGCTAGTTGTCTAATGTCCTGAGCCTCCTAATTTCTCATCTGTAAATGGGGTGGTAGTGATGGCCCATGGAAATGCTTAGAGTAGCACCTGGCATTTAGGAAGCACTCAGCATAGGCTAGCTCTTCTTAGACTTTATGGTTATGCATTTATATCAAATGGTAGGGACATTACAGAAGTCTGAGGCTTAGGCGGATGACACAAATGGGGTATAAGCCTCAAGGAATGGTAAGCATCCTCCTTTCCTCTCTAGTATTGAACATGAGGGTGCCTGGTAAGTGAGGGCTCTCTGACCTCCCTGATGGATACCAACGGCATTCCTATTGTCCTTATAAACTGCAGGTGTATAGAGCAATGCTTCCTGACATGCCCTGAGTGGCTTCAACAACGTCAATGGTTAGGGATATCAAAAGCTGCCTGGCTCTCAACATGTTGGAATGACCTCCACTCACAGTGTGGAGCGAGTGGCTGCTGGGATCAGCATGTATCTGCTTCGAATGCCTGTCACTAACACCATTTTGAGCTACCCAGGTCTTTGGGCTTCTTTGTTTTGTGATAGAGCTGGTTTTTCTTCTAGACGATCTCAATCCTCTGAAGTAAGATATTTATCACTTGTTCTTCCCTACTATAAAAGAAGAATTGCCTCTGTGTGATGGGGCTCATGCTGGCTTGGCCCCCTGTTCACCTGACAGGGGCTACCTGGCAGGGGGGATGGGGTGCTGAAGCTGTCTTGGACTGTGACTCTTTGAGGTCGTGGATGTCCAAGTCTTTAGCCATTTGTGGCTTGCCCAGAGCAATGGAACTCCATCTCCTAGGGTCCACTAGAGCCACGAGAATATCCCACTGAAGTGCATGTTCTCTCCCTAGTTCTTCTCTCTTAGTAGGACTCAAATACTACTCTGTTAATTCTCAGTAATTTATAACCTTGCCTGTTGTATTTTCATTATGGAATTGTTTGTGTTGATCTTTGGAAGGTGGAACCTTGAGGAAATATTTATGGGAACCAAGACTGTACTTTGTTTGAAAAAGACTATATTAAATTTCTCTTAGTTATTAAGTATGCATCCTATGGTTCAACCATTTGACCTATAATCTCTCTCTCTTTTTTTTTTTCTTCTCCCTAGCACTGGCTTGAGCCTAATAAGTCCATCTCCAAGCAAATGAAATGTAAGTGTCAATCTGTGGTTTCACTTTTGCTATGAACTGTCCAAAGATAGGTTCTGTTTCTCGACCAAGTTTCTCCTTCCAGGGAAGAAATGGCTGGAGTTGAAGATCTGTGGGTGGGGGCTTCTCTTTCTCCTGTTGGTTGCTGTGTGACTTCTCTTTGCTGGACTTCGTCTTCCCTGTAGTCACTCTTCCCGTCACCTTACCTTCAGAGTTCATATTCGAACATGAGCATTGGAATTAGATGATTAAGTATCAGTTAAACATAACCACCAGGTGCCTGGTTTCTTTGGATTGTGGGGGTTGCTAGTAAGTGGTTCAGGGTGGAAGGTGCAGTCCTGCGGGGATGAGAAAAGTGGGTGTATTTTGAAACTAAACTCTTGCTGCTAACTTTACTGAAGATTGTTTTATTCTTTTCTATACTTCAGACTCCCTACAATAATTTCTTCCCCCTGAGTAATTGTTTTCAAGCCCTTGTGTTCTGAACTGCCTTTTTTTTTTTTTTTTAAATTGATGAACTCTTGGGGAAATTGCCTTGGGAAACATCTTTTTAGAACATCTGGTCATCCACTTTGGGTGTTGTGAGGAGGGTGTTGACCGGGTCCTTGATGGCATGGTGTTTTGTCTTGGTCATCCGTGCTAGGCTGTAGTCAGCCTGCTTTTATTTATGATTTGGAGCAGGGCTTCTGAAATGCACTTCAGAAATTCATTGCCTGCCCTGAAATCCATTTATCCCTCCATGTCAACTTTTCCAGGGCTCTGAAATGTAGGCGATAAATCAGTTTCTCATCAGAAATCAGTTTAGCGCATATTATGTCACTTATCATTATTCAAGGGATTCTTTCCTTTTTCAAATACAAAGAAATTATTCTGGGCAGGGTTTTTAAGTGGGAAAAGTAAGAAACTGAACATGGATGGCAAACTCGCAACCAGTACATCTATTCCTTAACCCTCCTTTTTCCTCCCTCCTGTTCCCTCCCCCCTCATCCCTCCTTCCCTTTGTCCCTTCCCATTCCTCTTCCTTCCCTCCCCCATCTGTCTGGAACAGACTCTGTCTGATCAGTGCAGGAAAGACAGCCAGGTTGTTCTGGGGAAGGCTGATGCCCATGGCTGCTGGGAGCCATGGCTGATGCAGGAAGCTGACAGGAAAGTTGTATGAGGCGAAAACAGGAGCAGCAGTGGACATGCGATGTCCAAAGGGGTCAGTTTGTTGGGGTGCAGCTGGAATAGAATCGGAATAAGCATCCAAGAAGAAATAGGAGGACAGAGGTCTCGAGAAGCTTTATATAGAATGATATGAAGGATAATATGAAGGATAAGAATGAATTAGCATGTCTGGAAAAAAAAAATTCCTGGAGCACCTGCGTAGCTAACTCAGATTAAGCATCTGACTCTTGATTTCTGCTCAGGCCATAATCTTGAGGTCCTGGGATTGAGCCCATGTGGGGCTCCTTACTCAGTGGGGAATCTTTGAGATTCTAAGATAACTAAATGAAAAAGAGTCTTTAAAAAATTGCTGATACCTAGCTTTTATCCCTTAGCTACTAAGTTTTGATATTTTTATGTGTTTTAAAATGTTCAAACAATTTCCCAGGAAGCTTATTTATAGTAAATGGTTCTTTGACTTTGGTTCTTAAATGCTATGCAATATTTTCCTTAGGCTACACATATTTTTAAAATATAAATTTATCTCTAAAGTCAGATGCCTTTCAACACTTAATAGAAGAAACAACTTTTTTTTTAATAGAAGAAACAACTTTTAATTTGCAAAGAATTTGCTGCTTAAGAGCTTTGTCTCCATGCTAAGTAAATCTGAACAACTAATTGAAAATTTACAAGGTTTGGTAAAAGTGTTTTAAGGATTGACATTTGACTGCTGGCCAATGTCAATCTAATAACAAATGAAATCTGAATCAGGAAAGAAGAACTCTATAAAATTCAGTTTCTAAACCAGACCAGCTGACTCCCTGATTCTAGGAACTGGTAAAGGTCTTATCTATCACCCAGTCTGCTGTTGTATTTTTGAGGACATTACTAAATAAGAAATCATGTAATTTTCTCAAGATCACAAATCTAGTTTTGTTGTTGATGATGGCGTCTTTTAGTATCAACAATTTCTGTATTCTTATATGTATATCCTGGAAATATTAACTTTACCATAAATTCAAAAAAATGTTAAACTAGGACTTGTATATTATTAACCCAGAGAAACTGGGTTCAACTTCTGGGACTCATCCATGAATCTATCAAAAGGATCTGGTTGCAGGTCTTCCAGGCAACTTTCTTCTTGGGTATGTGTATAACTTTAATCCTGTGATTGTCTTTGAGTAGCCAATGAGGGCAAAATTTTTTTGAGGAATGGTTTGATGGCAGACTTTCAGGTTCTTTACCCTGACCCTATTAAGATCTCTTTAACTATGGGTGTTCTCAGGAATGGTATTTTCCAGGGTTGGCTGAAGGTCAGCTGCCCTGATTAACAAACACTCTACAAAGACATTATTATCTTATTAGGATTTTTAAAGATAGTTAATTTTTATTTATTTTACTTGTTTAAAAATTTTCCCTTTTTAATGAGATATAATTGGCATGTAACATTATATAAGTTTAAGATATGTAACATAATAATTTAATATATGTATATATTGCAAAAATGATCACCATAGTAAGATTAGTTAACATCCATTACCTCACATAGACATTCACACCTCATATATTAAAACAGGTTTTAAATAATGTCCAGGATTTTTCTTAGTCTGTGTTTTCATTTTAAATTCTTCTGAACTATTTCCTTTCTCTTCCCCCATATATCTCCAGGCCCACTCCAAAGAAATAACTGTTAACAGTATTTTATATAGCCTTCTGGAATTTCTTATGTATATATAAACTCCCCCATCATATATATGACCTTTTATAAACAGAAATGAGATCAATCTCTGTTTTTCTTCACCTTATTTTTTAAATAGCTTTAGAGATTTTAATATCAGTGATTGATGACTGACTTCATTTAATTTATTAATTTTTATTACTTTTTAAAAGATTTTATTTATTTGAAAGAGAGAGAGTGAGTGAGTGAGTGAGAGAGAGCGTGAGCCAGGGAGGAGTGGAGGGAGAGGGTGAGACAGACTCCCCACTGAGCGGGGAGCCCGAGGCAGGGCTCAGTCCCAGAACTCTGGGATCACGACCTGAGCCAAAGGCAGGCGCCCAACTGACTAAGCCACCCAGGTGCCCCAATTGACTTTCTGACAATTACATGAATATGTAACAGACATCAAAATATTTTCTAGTAATTTGCAATTATGCATTATGCTGCGATAAACACACTTGTATGTACTTTCTTGCATGTTTACAAGTGCATCTGTACTAGAAATTCCTTTTAGAAGTGAAATTGTTGGATCAAAAGGTATACATTTTATATTTTCTTAGTGGTAAATATCCATTTAAGACCTTAGAGTAATTTATCCCCAATAATGTTATGTGAGAGTGTTTCCCCCAAATCTTGTTGAAAATAGGTAGAATCAAACTTATTTTTATGGTGACTTCAAATGTATTAAGGAAGAGAAATATTTAATTGAGAGAATAATTAATTGGACAGTTACTTAATTGGGTATACATTCTATTTTATTTTTAAAAAGATTTTATTTAGAGAGAGCACAGCTGGGGGGAGGGGCAGAGGGAGAAGGAAAGAGAGCATCTCAAGCAGACTCTGTGCTGAGCACAGAGCCAATGTGGGGCTCCATCTCATGACCTCGAGATCATGACCTGAGCCAAAATCAAGAGTCAAATGTTCAGCTAACTGAGCCACCCAGGTGCTCCTTGAGTGTACATTTCAAAGCTGAAAGACTTCTTAAACCAAAGTCTTATTTCTCTTCTGAACTTAAATTTTATTTTTTAAATGAACATATAGTAAAATTGACTTTATTTTGTTGTATACTTCTGTAAATTTTAACATATAGGTTTGTATAACCTCCAGTACAATCAGGATAGAGAATAAATCCATCACCCCAAAAGCCTCCCTTGTATTCCCTTTTATAGTCATGTATCCCTGCCTCTCAGCACTAGCAACCCCTGACTTGTTCTGTCAATATAGTGTGTGTCCTTTTAGAATGTCCTATAAATGGAATGATATAGAATATAATATTTTGAGACTTTTTAAATCAGCCTTAGTAACTCTGAAATTCAGCCAAGCTGCTATGTTTGTCAATACATGATACAGAAGATTATTAAAAGTAAATTTGGTCTTTGAAAATATCAAGAAAGTGATGAACCTCTAGCAAGACCGATAAAGAAAAAAGAAGACACAGGTTACCGATATCAGGAACGAAAGAGACTATCACTACAGACCCCACAGAACAACTCTAGGTATGTAAGTTTGACAGCTTAGATGAAATGGGCTCATTTCTCAAAAACCATGAATTACCAAAACTCACCCAATATGAAATACATAACATGAGTAGTTGTATGATTATCAAAGAAAATAGGTTAAACTTCCAGAGAAGAAAATCTCTAGCCCATTTGCTGTTGCTCTGTTGCTATAGAACCCCCTTTGCTTTAACCAGGAGCTTCTCCTGGAGCTTTCCCCCTCCATGGTGATGTCCTCCCAGTATCTGAGTTCTGTCCAAGGGATACCAGAGGGAAAAACGTGGAGAACCCAACACCAGTTCAGGGGTCTTGTGAATTATTCTCCTTTCCCACTCTGCCTGCTATTGTTTACTTTCCAGAGTCCTTAAATAGCTGCTGCACACATTCTCTCTGTGCGTTATAGCTGCATTCAGTGGGAGAGGTGGGGCGGGGTGTGATTAGTCAATACTTGCTGGAATTGGAAACTTCAAATCAAACTTTTTATCATTCCTTGTTGACTAGGTTAAAATGCAGATAGCTACATGATTTGGGCAGTGTTGAGGGGAATATCTTCCTCGTCTCCCTATTCCATCATTGCATGCCTATAGGCACAAATGTGGACTGAGCTTTGATCTTTTCCTTTTCAGAGTATTCAGATAGTAGGT